TTCTAGAGCTCAGGAAGAGGGCTGAGGAGCAGCGCAGGGGGCCAAACCACCACTGTGGGATGCACTCTCTGGGATCAGTCTTTGTTTTGTTCTGGGAGGGGGAAGGGGCGACCCACAAGCCCAGTTAATGTTTATCCAACAAAGACTTTGCTCTCCTTACTGAGCCCTCTTATGACTGTCCTCTTCTCTACCTGCTGAGCATGGCCACGCTGCCTGCTGCACTGCAACACAAACTCCTATTCCTTTCCTGGTTTCAGTCCTGGTTGGCCTCGACACAAAAGACTCTGAGCTCCACCAGGACCAGCCTTTTCCACTTTCTCTGGGGGAACACAGTAGCATAGATGCCTTTGCACTCAGATGCACGGTCTTTAAGCAGAGCAACAGTGGCCCAGAGTTTAGTATTGGCTTCACCACCAGTATTCTGTGTAAGGGATCTTGTAAATCAACAGTACAACTCCCCTTTTAAAGAAGACACTTTTTGGCCCAAGATTAAGGGGATACAATGGTTTTGCTAAGAAACCTGAAAAACCATATCCTTTTTATAGGAAAATTTCAAAGTAGACTGAGCCAAACTCTTAAGATTTTTGCCTTTTGTGCTAAGATGAATTTGTGCACACTCACTGCACTTGATGTTTCTGATCATTTCATGAAAAGGGTATGCACTGTATGGTGTCCTGTTTATTATGGACAACGGTTTATATAATTTTGATGCAGGCACACTTAGAGTTCACACCTGAAAACTTGTGATTTATACCTTTATGCTTTTTTCAGCAGCGCCTTTTACCAAAACACTACATATTGGGGATTAGATTAGCAACATTTCAAGTCTAAGTTAGTTGATATGATGACACTCTAGCTAGATCCACATGACTAACAAGGAAGACTTGAACCAACTTTCTGCCTTATAATGGTTTCGTATGTTCAGTTCATACATTGTCAGAATAAGCTGGAAATAACTTGGTATTGTACATACCGTGTGTAAAGGGGAATTGTTGAGATACCTCTGACCTGATCCAGCAAGCAGTCCTGGTGGGTGTGCTAAAAGACACTAACTCTACCGCAGTGTCCTCCACTCCTGCACGCCTACTCTGTTATTCAAAAGCACAATTTGGATTGCTAAACTCAGTCCTTGTTAAGGTGACCAGCGTTTGGTCCTTCCTGTGAATTTCAAAGATGCTGTTGTGAGCCGAAACTCCCAATTTTTGGCCATGTGCAGCCTTTCCGCATTGCATTCCCAGCTGTAATTTGCTTTGCAGTGGACCTATGAAAGTCCAGGCAAAGGCAGTACGCAGCACTTGAATCACTGTCTGTCTTATGTTTATGTTATTTTCATCAGATATCCCTTGTGTAACTCACTGCAAATTGTCAGTGAGAGGTGAAGTAAGGCCATACCTCTGTGCACTTTGCCTGGGAATTGTGCCCTTTGTTTTCATTGTATTTTTGTTTTGTTCAATGTCCATTTCAATGCAGGTGGTCCATTTTTGTGGAATACATTTCAAGATCTTACTGCTTTACTGTTACTTTTGAGTGCACATAGTGTTATTTTCTATCCTTATGTGTTGTTGCTGCTACATTTGCCATATCTGGTGGACCTCTTTTTGCATTTTAATTGTCATAAATGTCGTCTTCTTTACAGTTTTGCGGTTGGGCCAAAATTTTTTTTAAGAACTCTTTGTTCTACTGACGACATGAGTACATGACAAAAAGCCTATAGCTTGCTGCCATTTACTCATTTATACAGCTATAACTAGAGCGCCCATAACATGATTTTTTTTTCTTCATACATTTAATTAATTATACAACTGGTAGATTTTGCTTTCAGTGCAGAAGCTTTTAAATGGGACTAGTCACTTGTATATCCTAAATTGAGAACAATTTTTATTTAGCAGTAATATAGTGAGTCGTATATATGGTTAAATTGCTATTCTAATTCCATTGTTCACTTCGATCTGTGACTTAAACCACTTAGACCTTATAACCTTATACCTGAGTCATGTCTTATCTCTCCAACACCATTGAGTTCAGGGGCTAAAACTCAGAATTTTCCCTGGTTTGACCAAAGATACCCTTCATAGATTTCCCATGTACCATGTTTACGCTTCAGCATAAATACAGTGCCACAATCCACCATATATCTTTATTCTATCCGTGCCACCATGAGTGTAGTATTAGCAGTTCCTAAGTGCGTTTGCCATTGACATCAAGGTAAATATGTTCAAAACAGAAAATGGTGCTCTTATGTCAGCACTAGAAATCTCAGTGTTATGAAAAACAAAGCAATATGTATAGGGCCACTTTTTCCTTTGAATATTTCCTTTTGTGTGGTTTAGTATTTTTTGCCATACTCCGATGTAAAGCACATTTTGGTTATTCATTTCAATGTCAGATTTTGACCTGGTGTCGCACTGGAAACAATTGTGTAGATGTGTGTTTGTTGAGTTGGGCGTGTTATGAAAATGTTTTGTCTGTGAAGCCAGTGCACCATTTGTGTAGAACTGGACTTTGGGAAGGCTGAGTATCTTGATCAAATGAAAGCATAGACACTGTTAAAAAGAAAAAAAAAAAAAAATTGAGATGAATGACGCCCTCCTTTAGGGACGAGCAGCAGTGCCAACTTTCTGTTGTGAGTCCTTTGATCTCTGAGGGCCACACCTAACACAGTTCCTCTTGAGATATATTGTACTAATTTGTTTTGCTGCTGAAAATGACAATCCCCTTGTCATGTTAGGTGCAAAATGATCTTGAAGTAATATTCATTTTTAGTTTTGATAATTTACACTGAACAGATGTTTCTACAGTGCTTTTGTAAACATTTCTAGTGTATTTGCAAAAAATAAAAAATGCAAAATATATTGTCTTAATGTCCTCTTTCTTTAAATATGCAAATTTGTCTAAAATGGTAACTGAAAATGACAAAAAAATAATAATCCAAGGATCGCAATTATTTATTTATTTTTTCAACATAACATTAATGTATTAATCTTGGCATCCTTAAAATCAGCCTATACAGTTTATATTATTTCATCATTCTGTTATCCTCATTAATAGTTTTGAAATAAAAGTAGTAATAGTAGTAGTTCTACTGTATATATATTTTTTTGTTTGGAAGAGGATATAAGCATATCTCATGTAGGTAAGATCAAATATATTTGTTCTTTTGCAGTAAACACAATGTGAAATGAAACCGACAAAGTAGACTAAATGAGCCTGTTGCAACAAAAGGACAGTATCGCCTCTAAGCTGTTATTAAAGATATGAAAATGCTACATGCTGAATTTAGTATTTATTTAACTGTAACATTTTCAAAGTATTAACATAATTAAACAGTACTTAATGTTAGCAATGCCGGAACACTCTGTGAACTAGTTTATGGTCCTGGCCTTGAGATTATCATTTCAGGGTCTCTTAGAGATCAAGAGATAGGGCTACATTTGTATCCATTATCCACAGTTTATTTTTACTTGAATCTTATCTCTCTTGTCCCGTCATGGGATGGGCCCATCTGTATTTTCATTCATCCAATGTCAAAAACCATGAATGTTGAGGCCTGGACTACCACATCTTTGAGGAAAAAGTGCCTGAAATCCCTTAACGTCTCCATTAAGAAAGACATCCAGTATTGTCCTTGAGCAGTAAGACCACCTACTGACTGTGAACAATAGCCCCCCCTTTCCTTATGTCTTCAAAAGTAGGTCTAACTGCCTTCTCCATTATCCCATTTATGAGCAGTTTGAGATTTGGGCAAGCATACTGACCTCTTTCACTGAGGCTGTTCCTATTGTTAACACAAAGCAAATAACAGGCATCTCACATACTGTAACTGTCACCCCAATGGCCTTGAGCAAGCTCAAGTAGGCCCTATTATTCAGGCAATAACAGCTTGTAAAGATAAGATTAAAAAAATACAGGACACATGCTTCCCCTAACATTAACATTGTAATGCTTCAGTAAACACATAAACATAAACTATTTGTTCAAACAATAATACCAGATTAAGGGGATGTTTTGAAATCTGCATATTTAAAGGTGCACTATGTAACTTTCCAAGGGAAGATCTGCCACCTTCTTTTGTCAATGGAGTTGCTACTGCTTTTCCTGGAATGCTCTGTAATATGACATTGAACTTATCTACTGCTGTCTTTATTTTTATATTTATTCTGATATTATATATAATTATAGTATTTTTTTATAGCAAAAAATACCTTTAGGCTTACATTTGTCCTTTTTTATGGAGAAAGCAGGTGGCAAATCCAACAAATCCCAGAAAAGTTATACAGTGTTCCTAAAAATTTACACAAATTGAATTGAATCAAATTAAACAAAGTATTAAGATAAAGATGATAAAGACTATTGTTCATTGTTATTGTTATTCAGTGGCCTCCTGAACTAAAAACCTTTCTTCAAGTAATACTACAATGAGATCAGAGCGGAAAATGTCACAGTAAAGTGGCCCATTCTGCCCCCTGTTGGCACTTTCTATAATAGATCTTAAAAGAAGAATAAAAGGTAACATGACCTACCTACAAAAAGCAAAGGTTTAGGCAATATTTAATAGCAAAATAAATAATACAATAAAACAATATTACCTAAATAGAAGCCAAAATATTTGTTATATTGCCATCAATGAGGTAAAACAAATGCATAACATGGATAACAAATTATCATGTAGCCTATTAAGACAATTGTTGCATTGAATAAAAATATACAACCTTGTTTTTCATAGCCTTATTGCATATTGCATGAGCTTGATTAAAATGACAGTTCTATGATTTTCACAAATTATTTTGGCTTTACCTTTCATGTGAAATTTTATCATGAATTCATCATATGCTGTAGTACTGTACTACCTCTAAGGCACAAGAAATATAGTTACAGCAGTATATTTGTCAGTTTGGAGAACCTTTGTATAGCTTATAAACAAAATGTCTCATAATGACTTTAAATATGATATCTTGATGTCATTGCATAGACTAAAAGATATAATTTGTTCTTCAGCCCTTTTTCCAAGCCTGAATGTTGCTCTAAATCCCGCATGATCCTTGAAGGCATCATTGGGGCTGGAGCCACCCACGTCTTATTGCGTCATACAGCAGCTTGTTGGCCTCACCAGTCAAACCGAATTTGCACTTGTCTTTTCAAATGTTGGGATCTCCTTCAAGTTTGGTTAAATCTGTTGCCGTTCCCATAAACATGCTGCGGCCGCGTTCCAGGCGACTTTTTTTGTCCGTGAGACGAAAAGCCTCCATGAACTCATCTATGTCTATACAGCCGTCATGGTTACTGTCAATAGTCACGGCCAGGTCAGAGATAGCGTCATCAGTGATCTCCATTTTAAGGTAGATGCTCAAAAGCTTCCATGTTTGCCCGAAGTCTTCTATTGTAATAAAACCTGAGGAGAGAGAGATAGTTAAAGGTACACCGTATAACTTTTCTGGTGGAGGGTCCACCATTTGCTTGTCTCATGTTGATGTCATTGCTTTGCCTGGAATGTTCCACAGTATGGCATTAAACAAATATATCTTGTATTTATTCATTTACAGGTTAAAACAGGAAAAACACTAACATGTAAACAGAGTCAAACAGGTGGTGGCCCTCTAAAAAGTTGCATAGCGCACCTTAAACAAAGAGATCACTTATAATTCATGGTTTATTCACACATAAACTTTCACTGCATATTTATGATAATAAAAAAATGCAGGGAATTCAGTTGGAGAGAGAGAGAGAGAGAGATTTGAAGAAAGAGGTGAACAAGGTGAAGAGGGATAGAGGCTTTTGGTCGGTCATGGTGGGGGATGGAGAGAGCAGTAGATCAGTGGGTTAATCCTGTTCTTAACTGCGAGGAATCAGGACACTGTAAAATGTTCTTTAAGGTGGCTTAAAGGTGTAAGTTTTCTTTGCCTGAATTGTTCAACATAGAATTAACATATCTATTCTTCAATTACAGGCATTCATATTGTAAAAAAAATAAAATAATCTAATTCAAGCTACTGCATTAATGGTGCTCTATTGAACTTTTATATTATATTATATTATTGCCTCACCTGGAATCTTTCATAGTATGGCATTAAATTTACCTTTATAGCATTCAACTTTTCTATCCTGCATTAGGTGTTTTATTGCAAAAAAATAAATAAATAAATAAATAAATAAAATTGAAAAACATCCAGAGATTTGTTAGCAAATCTCCGGTATACAGATCTGACTCAGAACTTTTTAAGTTGACCTGCTCAGTCTTCATGTGTTACAAGTTACATTCAGCACAATTTGGGGGACTTTTGAAAATTCAAACTTTAGGATTTTAATTTTTTTTTTCATTTCCATGAAGAGCCATGGAGATGAGCAAGTTTAATGCCATACTGTGGAAGACAAGCAAAGTAACACCTCCATGGTAACAACCACACTGTACATCTTAAAACATTTTGCTCCATTTCAACACTTTACCTGAATTGTCTGTGTCTACAATTCTGAAGATGGTCTCTATAGTGGAGCGGTGGCGGTACAGCGTTTCTATCAAGCCCTCATCAATGTGCTGCAGGAAAAATATGAATAATAATCCAATATCCATCTATACACAGATGGCCACAGATTTTTTTTTATATGAATATAATGTTCTTACATCAGTCTGAGGTTTTTTGATGGTGAGCTCGTTGAACCACTCATAGTAGCTGATCATTCCTTCACTGGATTTACATGTAACCAGCTGAGAGCGCAGCATCCTCCAGGGCAGGCCCAGGTGCATCACACTCTCCACTGCATCCGCCCAGTCACTCAGATTTATCAAGCCTAACGGGAGGGGGTATGAAATAATAATATTTTTTTGGATTTCATTATACATATAAATTTCATATACATTCACAGGTAATATAATTCACACTAAAGTGGATCTGATGAAAAAGGAATGACCTCATATTTTTATTGCTCTAACAAAAACTTTATGAATGTTGTCCTACTAGGAGTTTTTTTTAATCTACCTCATTTTTTTTTTTAAACTGTTTTACCAAACAATAACAATACCAGTGTATGTTCATATGTTTTGCATGAACAGTAACTATATATTAGCACAAGTTATAAAAAACTGTCTTTAGAAAAGCTAAGCTCTAGTTTCTGTGAAACCACTTTAGCTTTTGTTTCACCTTACTGTTGTAGCTTTATTTTGTTTTTATCGGGCATTTAAGTCATTCACGCAAAGCACAAAGACTAGTTCACATTTCACATGGTGAGACTTGAGGATAACAAAGGATTAAAGGTACATGGGGGTGTGGTAATATTGGGTTACACCTGAAAAGCTCCACACCTGAGTTCTCTGTGTCATACGCTCTGAAGGCACTCAGGAGGTCAGACTTGTGCGCAAACAGTTGTTCTCGTAGGACTTTGAGAGCCGAGCGCTCAGTACGCCCCACACTGCAAACAACATGATAACACAGCGCATTATAACAGCTCTTTCAGTCTGATAATATTATCAAACTACACACCTCTGTCTCACTGTGAGCTCTCGAGTCATGCTGGTGGCCTGGTATTGAACCATATACGGCACAAGATCTGGCCCCAGCTTCACGTAGGCACCTCTATTGCTTCCAACATCATAGTAATTAGAGGCAGAAAATAAAGTCAAAACCTAAAAGAATGAGAAATTAAACCATTAAAAATATAATTCATTACACAACATTTGTCTGTAGTATTTTTAATTAGGGGGCAGGATTGGTTTATATTGCTTATTAGTACGTACTCCCTACCTAAACCTTTTACTGTATGTTATTATATATATTATTATCCAACAGAAAGACTTATAAAGTCAAACTAATAATAATTTATACCATTAACAATTGTTATGTCCACAATCACTTGCACTACCAGGCAAGCACACACACATAAATGTGTGCATGTTTCTGAAGCATAATTCTTAAAAGATATATATGTGTGTGTGTGTGTATGTATATATATATATATATATATATATATATATATATATATATATATATATATATATTTATACTAAATATCATTATCTATATTATTAACAAAGACTTAGTTTTATTATCTTATACCTCCTTGTGTTGTCTTTATTGACTTCAAGTTTAAAATTTGTGATTTTAGGAACTGTGTTTTAGTATAGTCCCTGAAACCAACATTAGGCACAATTCTAATGCCTTTTTTTTGTATATAAAGGTATCAGGTGACTTCCACAAGCATTTCTCCAGAATTCTCTGAAGTAATTAAGATAAAAAGATAAGAGGACAATATAGGGACTGTCAATGTGCTGATTTTGTGGTGTAGTACAGAGTAATGGGTCTTAAAATCTCCTACATTAAGCATAATGTGATTACTTCCTCAAATATATGCAAGGAGTTGTGTTTTGTTTCATTCACACACCTTTGAGTGACCCTTTATTAATAGTCTGTCTACATTTTCTGTAGACTGTGTAGGCCAGGGGTGTCCAAAGTTTTTTCATAAAGGGCCACAGATCTAAACACAGATGTAGCAGAGGGCCGATCGAGGGCCGTGGACTGGTGCTCATAGCAGTGAATAATTGAAATATGTGCATTTTTAACAAGCTGGAATGATCCAGCAGTCTTTATTCATGCTAAGATCCTTAAAAACACACTTAAATATTCACTTTATAAAGGTAGATTTTCAGAAAACTTCCAATAAAAAGTTCATTTTTAATTGATGCAAGGTAATTTGGGCCAATTCACCAAGCCTGAGGGCCAATTAAAATTTGTCTGAGGGCCGCATTTGGCCCACGGGCCATAGTTTGGACATGTCTGGTGTAGGCTCTGTTTGACCTTGTGTGTCACGAAGCGGTAGTGTTCAAGTTAGCCACTACCTTTCACTATTAGTTCAGTAGAGATCCACAACTCCAGGACTGAAATGATCCAAATGATTCTAGTGAAGGTGTATGGAGTTTAAAAACACAGTGGAGCACTTCTTGTATTACATGACACCAAGGTAGAACAGAGTGTTTCCTCTTTGAAAGAAGAACTCAGCTTAAATATGCATTATATAATATTATAGCATAGCTCAGAAAATAGTGTGATATGGGCCCTTTAATCATAACGTAAATGATCAGGTGCAATAGTTTCCTTTAGTGGAATGTTATAAGTACTGACTCCCCCCCTCCTCTCACCTTGCGGTTGTGACAGAACTCGTACCCCTCTTGTTTGCACTCGTGGGAGCGGATCAGCAGCTGCAGGTTGTGTCTGTTCAAGAAGTCCTCGGTCACATCAGGACCCCAGTAGCAACCTCCTCCTCTCACCTCATTGGGCATGCAGCCATCTTGAACCATGGGGTCACTCCACAGCAGGTCAAGAATCTATGGGCAAAGAGCAAATTTGGATGCTCCTCTATTCTGACCCAGGGTGTGGTACTGCTAACATCTCAAATAAAATTGTACTGTGACCAATTATTGAAGTAATGACATTTTTAGAAATTCAGTTCTTAAAAAAAATAATTCAAAGTATGTTCCCATAGACGAAAACAGTAAATAATCTGCCTCACCTGTTTCCACTCCTCTTTGGCATTGTCGCTGTCCACTGACTCTATAGAGACAGAGTGTAGATTTTCATCGTCCTGATTTTGATCTCCCGGGTGCAGCGTTCTCCTCCTGCACATCTCCAGCTCGTCCTCCACTTTCTCTCTGATCCGATCTGAGAAGTCTTGGAGTGAGCGATTCTGGAAGCTGCTCCTAGACCCAAATGGTTTAGGGTACGTCATAGAGGCTCTCCGCTGCAGGAACTTAGTGTTGGACCACTCCTCATCAGCTTCAGAGTCGAGGGATATTCCAGCTGAACTTGTATGTCTTCTCTTTGGAGGCCTCAATGCTGAAATATACTAAGGAGAAGAAAAAAAACATTTGATTTTGCTGAACTTTTTTTTAAGGTGCACTATGTAATTTTTCTGGAGGAGGGTCTTCCACCAGATGTTACACTGTAATGCTCCACAGTATGGTATTAAAATTAAATATTTTTCCATGGAGACAAACAGGTGATACCCCAGGTGCCTAATAAATAATATGTTACGTTATATTATTATTAATATTATTGTGGAGTGGCGACCCACAATACCCAGAATGTATGTTTATTAAATTATTTTAGAGCATTAATAACACCTGTAATTGAATAAATGCAAGATTGGTGAGTTTAATACCATACTGCCGAACATTCCATTCAGAGCAGTAACATCTCCCTAGAGACAAGCAGGTGGCTGAAGCCTAGGATGGTCCATGAAAGCATGGTGAAAAATAAAGTTTCAGATAACCTCGATCAGAACCCTACATTAGGTTTTAGCATCCAAAAGATGACTTAGGAAGAAATTTGGAAGAGAAAGAAGGCGTTTTAGAGGTTGCTCAAGATGCATGAAATTTCCTGGAAACTGACAAATTTAGCATTTTCAAGTAACTTTTTATGGACTTCCTGAGCAACTTTTATGAACTTTCTAAGCAATTTTTATGCAACCAAAGGCAGAGTTCAAGTCTAGAGAATCAAAAAAAAATTTTTTGGACCACCCTACTGAAGCCAAACCAAAAAGTTGCATAGCACACCTTTAAATAATTATTTACATCACGTCCTACTTACTTTGTGTCTGTCCACCCTTGCAATGATACCAAGGTCTGTGCTGTCTGAAATTCCACCATGGATAACCAAAACTCTCTGATCAATTACTGTTGCTAATGGTAACCAGCTGAAAATCTTTTGTAGCAGCTTTAGAATCCGCTTGCCATGCATCTGAAGACAGAAAGAGCATTAGTTTATACACTATACTATTTAAGTTCATTTTTAAATTCATAACTGAAAATGTCAGTAACATAACACAGTAGTTTTACAAACTAACTATCTAGACAAATACACTGTTTGGAAGTGGGAGGAAACAGAAGTAGCCAGGCTCACAAAGGTATAACTGATGTGTAACTTCTTTTCAGGTTGTACCTATTTTATGACACATTTGTATATTTAGACTAAAATGTTTTTTATCAGGAAGTCCAACCTTGACCAGCAGGTTTTCAAGAACAATAATCTTGTGTTGGGTGATACAGAAAAAACAGGAAGGAGGGAATGGATACACCCAAATGATACTAATAAATCCTAGGATTAAAAAAAGATGTTGACCCTGTTTAAATATATTATGTAACTGTTTTATGTTTTATTCTGAATTTGCTTTGGATCAACATAAAATAATTAAATGAAAAAAGGTGACATAGTTTGACTTTATTTTTTTTGACTGTATACACACAGACACACACACGCACGCACACCCCCATGCACACGTGCACACACACACACACACACACACAAAACATAAATATGTCCCTATACAAAATTATTATGTCATGTTCTTTCCCATATTCCCAATTTACCATATTGATCCAAAGGAAAAAAAAGGAAGGTGACATAATATGAATAAAGGGGGTCAACAATGATTTTTTTGAGTGTATATCTATCAGACCAAACACAACAAATATACCTTATATTTGGTTAAGACTTCTTTAGTGAAGCCATACCTTTAATGAGGGTATAAAACATAATTATAATATTTTAAATGTACTGTACATGTTTAGACTGCAGTCAGTTTGTACCTGAGGTTAACTATGTGGTCCTCATGATTTCCTCTGTTCAGATAGACATCGCTTGGATACAGCAGCAGGAATGCAAACAAAATAATGAGGATCTCAATCGAGTCTTGTCCCCGGTCCACAAAATCTCCATTAAACACATAGGGCTTCTCCATGGACGGCATGCCATTCTGGTACAACACAAAGTGGAAAGAAAGAGAAAACAATCAGTATCAATACACTAATCAATACCATAACTGGAAATTAAATCAGATACATCTTGAGCAAGCATTGGTACTGAAAAAAAAACAAAAAAAAAAAACGACTAACCAAAATAGACCAATAAACATTTCTGAATAGTTTTGATTCTCTTTCTTCTGAATATTTAAAATAGTTAAAAACTCATGCAGAGTTTAAATTACTGAATAAAAATAAAACAGCTTTAGATTGTTTCACTGTTTGTTGCATTTCCTATCACTAATTATAGAAAAAAAACTGTACAAAACTATGAGAAAGATGTTTTCTATTTTTCTCACCAATTCTGTGCAGTTTGTGTGATCAAGAACCACCATTTCTTCCATTTATTTTAGAAAAATGTAATGTATTCCACCAAATGAAGTAACTGTACCGGAATACATTTACCCAAAATTAGAATCTGAATAAATATTCTTGGTACATGTATTTGGTTACTTCCTAACTTAAACTTCTCTATCTTGCATTATTTCATCCACGGGCACTTCTCTTGCTAAAAGAATATGTATTATTATTGTGAGCGTGGGAACCTCTCCATGTCCTGCTGTAGTGTGTTCTCTCACAATTAAAACAGGAAAAGATCATAACTTCTTACATTCAATAAACATATCACATATTTTAATGAGAAATCCATTATGCTCCTCTTTAAATTAAGCTATTGTTGTGCTGTAGAGTATGACTTTACTGACTTGATGCTGACTAACCTTGTAGAAAATAAGCAGGAGATCTTCCAGCTGGCCATGCAAATCACCTTTCACAAAAGAATATAAAAATGTAACATTATCAAGACATACTTCTAGAAAACAATGGATGTATAATTAGGCAGATGCTTACCACAAATAGTTATTTCTTTGCTGTGACAAGTTGAAATGCGGTTTATGTTGGGTAACTTTCGGAGCAGTCTCCACGTCTGGAGAAGCAGCTGGAGAACGTAGCGAGAGTGCAGTTGCTATGAGGGGAAAAAACACAGAAGCATTGTGTTTAAAAGTGCACTATGTAACTTTTCTCTTGGAGGGTCTGCCATCTGTTTGTCTTCATGAAGACATTATTGCATTGCCCAGAATATTCCACAGTAAAACGCATCAAATTTGTCTGTCCACAAGCAGAGACAAGTAGATACAAGCAGGTATTGCATATGAGAACACAGAACACAACTGTGGAGAGGCAACTCTGCAAAAAAGTACTTTTTTTTTGCAATGTAATGTTATTTTCTTTGTGATGAATATATCTCTGTATGTACCAGGCAAAGAAATAAACTGATGGCTGATCCTCTACCAGAAAATGACACAGGGCACATAGTGTCAATCAAAAAATGCACTCATCTAAAAACATTTACATCATTACAGGCGATAATACTTGATGATACTTGATGTGTGAAGAGCATACCTTTTTGTTCCTAAAAGCCTCCACCAACCCCATGGCCTGCTCCACTGTCAGAGGAAAGGTTAAATGGGGACCTGAGTAGAGCTCCGGCACCTCAATGTTCTTGTAGCAGAAATACCGCTCCCATTCTGCGTCGTGACACACATCATTTTCTCTGAAGATGTGGGAGATTAATTTACCTATGAAAAAAAATAAAAACAACACTGTATTGTTTTTATTATTGTTATTATTTTATTATTAAGTCATTTTATTTTATTATTAAGTCATTTTATTTCTTTATTATGTCATTTGATTAAGCACACATAGAGTTAGTAGATATCTTACGTTCGTTGCTTGATGGAGTGAAATTGTCCATGAGATACCCAAGGAAATTGTAAAGCTGAAAAGAGAGAAATAAAACATTGTGGTTGGTGATTTTTGAAAATTGAAATCAGTTGTGTTAATGTAACATCAAAATATTGTGTAATCTATAGTTTATAATTGAGCTGGAGGGCAGGTCAAGTAGAATTTGCTGTTTCACTATCAGATTGCAGATTTGTTGACCTGGTTTATAGTGAAATGGCAAAGAGATCAATGTCTTTTCAGTGAGTATAAATAAAAGTGAAATTAATATTTTGAAATAGCTTCAAAAAGTGGTGTTATTCAACCTCTCATTGTTGACAGTTGAAAGGACTTTAAGCCATAAAATGAATAAGGGAAGTTTGTGGAGCTAATATCTAACAAAAGTGATAAATTTCTTTAAAAACAGTAAATCTCTCATAGAGTTACATAGGTCTCTGCCCTCAGTCTGAAATTGTGAAAATTCTCGCCCTCATGATTGTGGATCGTACTTTGATTTGTGCCTGTTCTCCCGAATATTCGATGGACTGGAAGATGTGCCAGGTGCACCTCCGCCTCATTTCTGTTCGAGCGACGTACTGACGATACCATCGCTGTATCAAGACAGCCGCTCTTATGGCTGAAAGAGTCACATGAGAATCAACAAAATAAGTATGGCAAATATGGTGTATGAGTATACAAGGTCTTTTAACAACAAAGCCAGTAACTACTGAAGCTGATGACTTACTTGTGACAGCTTTGTGTTACATAAAAAGAAGAAAAAGAAATTAAGTACAAGGAAAACACAGATAAATTGTGTTTTAAATGAATGAAAGTTACCTTTTCCTGGGTGTTTATTAAACTGGCTTGACTTGGAGACACCACATCCCATGTCTGTCTCTACGCAAAGGTCACAGAAACATTTGATTTAGGCTTTATATGTACAATTACAGTTCAGTAATTTTTCTACAACATCTACTGTGTATTTGCATGATAAAACACTTCTAACAAATCAAACAATCACAGAAATATCTAATTTGTGAATACATTCAAAACCATGCTGCATTTCCTTTATACACCATAGTATGGCTTTAATCCAGTTCCTGTGACGTTGCGGGCCTTAGCGTGGCTCAGGCACAGAAGAGCACCCTTTTAATCTCTTTATCTGTTGATTCACTCCTGACCTTCATTATTGGCCTCAATACGAAAGAGAAGACCGCTCAGTCTGATCCATGAAGGCTTACATTAGATATTATTTCCACAATATAGAAAATATATTATATGTGTATTATATTGGCACAAGCTTTCCACAGAAGTAGGCTAGTAGGCAAGTTTCAAAGTGTTACGAATGGGAATTAGGGTACAAGTTGTACCAGGGATTTCAGTTTTTCATTAGTTTGTGCTCTGTTGTATTGAAATATAATAAATAGTAGGCCTATATATCAACCTCACAGATTAAAACATCTAGTTCTAGCCTTAAAATATCTAAAAACAAATGATGTTTATGCAGGAATATACTTGCCATGTTGTCACTGACATTAATGGCTTCTGTTTTCAGTCAACACAACCTGTTATTCACAGGCAACACTGCAGTATTTGAAGTTATTGCATAAATAAATTGTACTCACATGATTAACTTCAATAGCCAGTCACGAGCTCCCAACTTGTTCAGCTGTAACATTTAGTCCTGTGGCCTCCTGCATCCTCTACAAGTCCCCCAGGATCATGTTTGAGGAACCTGTCCTGCTCATCACGCCGTGGAAGAATGGGTCCTGCACCCAACTGACAGGCCTCTTCATGGGTGCAGCTGTGCCCTGTGCCCAGTGAGTCCAGTCCGTTTTTCTGATACTTTCTGGTCCAGTCCGCTCTATGTTCCAGTGTGGATTGTACCAGGTTTAGAGTCTTGGTATGATGCATTAGCTCCAAGTGGATTACACTAATGACTTTATGCGACCAGACTGCTCTTAGGTCTCTTCAAGAATAGGCCCACAGCAAAACACAAAGTAGAAAGGCACAAGCAATGGCGTTGTGATAGATTACGTTTTAAAATAATTCCCTTATCTTGGCTTTAAGTATTTATTTATTACTTACCTTATGGTGGTTTAAAGAACATCATTAAAGGTCTTATATTACGCAAAATTGACTCTTGTTACCTCATCAAAACATACCTGGAGTAATTTTTGTTACATACATTCACAAATGTTTGAGTAAACCTTTATTATTAATCTGCCTACATCTCCAAACCTCCAGATGCTCTTTTCCACCTTGTGATGTCATAAAGTGGTAGTTTTGAAATTAACAGCTACCTTTTCACTTTTCAGCACTTCCTGTATTACCACATGACTTCACAGGATGTAATAGAGCATTGATAATTTTTAACTTTTTTTTTTTTTAAACTTAGAGAACATCATTAAACCTACAGCCATGTTTATTTTACATTTACTGAGCTGCCAATTCGGTTTTGAAAAAGCTGAAAGATAAATACAAACAAATGCCAGTATTCATTTTAACTTCACAAAAAAAAATCTTTGAATAATGATCATGACAACACTTTTCTAGACATTTCATCACATTTCAATACCTACTAGTACGTCAATGTTAAAATGTCAAATGTCTTAAATATTTACCCTTAATACATTCAAATACTAATTTCTTGTCTGCAAAAGTCTTAAGACTTTTAAAATAAGCATGCTTGGTGATGTTTCGTCAACATAACGTAACACTGGCGCTCTTGAACACTGCTCGGGTTACATAGCAGTGGGCGGCGGTGTTTTGAAAGCGATCGCTGCGTAACCATAACATTGCCTTTATTTGACTTACTTCACCCTTACTTTTATTGTATGCATAAGAATGTAGTTCCAGATCTGGCTTTTAGACTTTTTTGTAGGTTTTTCAGTTGAGTTATAGTGCAGGTATGTATGTGCTTGTTTGCTGAACAGCTACACGAATAAATTAGAATATTATGTTCTTGTTAAACCATGTCCTTAACAAATCATGTCCCTGAAAAAGATTGCTTAATATATCATCTGATCATTTGATTTTTTTACTAGAGTGTCTCTTTATTGTACCATAACTTTTTTACGCTTCCAAAACAGGAAATAAACCCACTGCGGCTGTCAGAGGAGAGAGTGCGCGGAGAGGAAGAGGGGTTTCATGATGAAGATCGCTGTGCTGGGAGCCACGGGGCAGACTGGGCAACACTTGGTGCAACAGGCCCTGCAGCAGGGCCACTGTGTCACTGCTGTGGTCAGGAATCCGGCTAAACTCATCGTGCAGCATGACAATCTCAAGGTGAAATTGACCAACTTCTGTTAGTCTGTTCTTGTGTGCAGGGTTCAAAGTTCATTATTGTGTTATAACAATATGAAAATGCATTATCTACCTGGGAGAGGCGAGAAGAGTAAGCCAAAATTGTACTTAAAATCAATGCTTCAAAATAATATTACTCAAATAGTATTGCTACAGTAGGTTCAAAGAAATCAGTTAAGAAATTGTAAGAGTAACTGTAAATGTAATTTATTTTGTATTGTGTCTGGACATAGGCCATTAATTTATCAAGTAAATGGAAGAACAAAACACACACACACAACACTTTTTTAATAACTTGTAGATTCATTTACAGTGAAAAGACTAACCCAAACTTTTACTCAAGGAAGAGTTTTGTTACAAAATATCAGAGATAAAGCGATATATCGGTTGGCCTATATATCTGTTGGCCGATAATTGCACTTTTTAGCACATTGGCTATAAGCCTTAAATCTCTTGCAGAGGATGATATTTTTTTGTGGCCTACCAGCCCCCTAAAGAATATGCATATTGGAACAATATATTACAAAGAGATACTGCACAAAACATGACTATACAGTTCTTGCATCCACTTTGTAGTAAACAGGTTTGTGAATGAATTTGTAGTCATTTCAGATCATATAATTTGGGGAAAATAATCAAGCTATTATGTGGCCATACCATCTTGTCAAAATCTGATCTCCGCAGATCTTAGAAGCTAAGCAGGGCAGGGCCTGGTTAGTACTTGGATGGGAGACCCCAGGGAATCCTGGTTTCCACAGTGGGGCTCCAGTGGCAAAAAACTGATGTTGTGTCCTTAAGCAAGCCCCTCGTGCAAATTGTCTATGTATGTGTGCATGATTGGTGGTGGTCTGACAGGGGCAATCTGCAATAGTATCTTACCACCATTGAGTGTGGAGTGAATGAATAATGTACTGTAAAGCGTTTTTGAGTGTCTACAAAAGCGCCCCAGCCCGATATCATTTGCTCTGGTTTCTGAACTCATGGCATCGGTCATGAACGATTGTCAGTCTCTACAATATACAATATACAATATATTACTCAAGTAGGAGTAACAACACTGCATTAGAAGAGAAGTTTAATAAACTTAAAAAAGTTAATAACCTGATAAAGCTAAAAACTTACTACACCACCATAACGATGATGATTCTCCCCCTTTTCTCTCTAAGGTCGTGGAGGCAAATATTTTCTCCAAGGACAGTTTGAAGAATCATTTTGAAGGGCATGATGCCGTCATGTCCTGCCTTGGCTTCTCCACTTCGTTCTTCTCTGCTGTGACAGGCTACACTCAGTCCATGGAAGCCACGGTTGAAGCCATGAGAGAGGCTAAAGTCAACAGGCTCATCACCATGACGTCCTGGTACACTGAGCGTAAGCCTTGTTCAGATATTTATTGTACAAAGGAAATGAAAATGGAATCTAAAAAGTCACTAATCCTGTGCATCCTTGTACCTTTTTAACAGCCAACTCTGGGGTTGAGTCACCATATTTTATCCGATTCCTGTTGTTGCCGATGATTCGGAGTGTGCTCACCAACATGTTTCAGATGGAGCAATTTCTGCAAAAGGCCAATGACATTGACTGGACAGTGGTCCGCCCACCTGGGCTGAGAAACCAGCCTGCCTCAGGTTAGTGATGCATGATTAAATTTTTTATTTAATTGAATTTTATTTGTTATAAAAAACAAATAAAAATGTATTTTAATCCTTCTTTCATTAACATAAACAATACACTTTTATACAGTGCCATTTAACTCAACACATTTCAATATATCCAATATAAAATGTGCTCCGTTCTGAGTATGTGTTTGAGTGAGTCTGACTATACTGTAGATCTCTTCATTAAAACCACTAGACTGATCATTGCTACAGGCTGCATTTTGTCATAGACTAAGCTTTTCAACTCTGGAGCGCAACAGTGACCTTCCACCCTCCAGTTCCAGAACTGTTTTCATTTTTCTCATAGACGGTTTTTGTGATTTTATTTCTGTGTCTTCAGCTCTGGAGTTCTTGACACATGAGGGGTACTTTGTCCCCAGCAGCAGTGGGGCCCCGATGTCCATTGCAGTGGCCCGAGGAGATGTGGCTCGATTTATGCTCTCACTGCTCAACACTGATGCCTGGACCAAAAAGGGAGTGGCTATGTCCACCAATTAAGAGTCCAAATCACATATACATTTGTACACTTTCATATTGCATTTACATCAGTTTTGTAAGATCAGAAAAAGGGAGGCGTTTATCTCCCTTGAAGGTTAAAAATACACTAAATATGTGCTAAATATTATGTCTGTAAAAGTCATGTTTAATCATTTTTTTTATTTTGAGTTTGCATCTAATGTTGCCTTCTAACCACTGCTTGTGCCTTAAAATAATTTGAGAGAGAGGGGAACACCCTGTTTGCACTTGTAATACTTCTATTTAGCCAGATGGGTGAGCTAGTGTTCTACTCTGAGCACACAGTATTTTGCTTAACAAAATTATGAACACGATTATGACTACCACACTATCACAGCAGAGTTTCTAAAATATAATTATAAAATCACATTTCTGTTGCTTTCTGTTTTATGTCTCCAATATTAAATAAATAAGGGTAATAATCAGTTACAAATGCAGTCTACCTCTCTGAGTAGTTTTCTGAACCATAATTGTAATATTAATTCATAGGAAAATTTGTGTCTCTGGAACTTGCCTTTTTCAATTTTTGTTGATCTTTAAAACAATTAAAAAAACATTTTTTTTCCCCCTTATTGTCTGTCAGATAAATTTACAATCACAATTACCATTTTCAACTAGTTCAACTTCTCCAGTAATTTATCAGGTCATTGCTTTTATAACAAGTTGAAAGTAATGACTGACTGATTGATTGATTGATTGGTTGTTTGACTGAGGTAAAAGGGTGTTATAAATTACGACTGAAGGTTGAGTTGTTTCCTGTGCCTGGCCATGCACATGTCATGGCCTCAGGGAACAACAAAAAGAAAGTGCAGACTAACCTGTAAGGTCAGTGATAACATGAACTAAATACTTGTCCTATTTTCAACCCAACATACAAAGACATGAGTTATTACTGAAAAGTAGTAAAGTACTGTACTTAAATAAAAAGTTTAGGTATCTGTACTTTACATTTTACTTTTATTTCGCTTTATATGAGAGCATTTTTTATTATCTGAGACCTGCTGAAAAAGTGAGGGTTTATTTTTAACACACTCATAGTTTAAGCAAACAAAAATATACAAATAAATCAGCTAGAAAAACAACAATTGATTCAATTGTGTCTATTGAACAAAATTCTGAATTCTTTTATGAAATTTTATTAGATCTCAGAATCTTACTCTTTAAGTTCTTTTTAAATGGGTACTTTAGTACTATTGCTAGATTTTTTTCATGTGATACTTTTGCTTGAGCATTATTTTGCACTAGTATCCGTATTTACTTACTTACTCAAGTAACAAAATTGAATAATACTTCCACCACGGGTTAAGAGGTAAGATCAGACTCTATATCAAACTCCATATCTGGAATGCCTTTGCAGCATCCAAAACCTGTTGACCAAGTCAGTAACATGATATGTGTGTGATTTCCTTTCTTAAAACAATGTGACTCTTCTACATATTTTCCAAAAAAAGCTGATTTATCTTGAGTTGATCAGGTAGAAAGTTAATATCTCATGTGTTCTCCACATAGCCAGAGGAGTAGACGGTTCTATTACACGCCATGACACAGAGTCTGTGTCATTTTCTAAATTGAGTTTCAACTAATTGCTTATGTTTGGTAATGAGGTTGTTAATAATTCAAAAGTAAAACAGTAGCTTTTCCATAACATTATTGGACATGCATAATGAAAATGTTGCATAGAGTGTTCCGTGTTTAAAGTATGATATGCTTTTCAAAAAGCTAACAAGATAATGCATGAAAATAAAAACTCAAATTCAAATCTGTGAATTTTATTTACAATTTTGATAAAACAATTATAGTAATATATACATTTCTCAAACTATACATGGGGAGCGCATATTAGTGGAGCTTTTATATGCACAAGAGTAATTTAAATATGACTAATTATGATTGTATGAATTCTATAATTCAAAACACATAGTCATCATCATGAAATCACTGTTCATAAAAATCCAAAATAAATAAAAAATACCACTGTGGGCAGAGCAAATGGCTTTACTTTGATATTATCGATTATGGAAGTAATATTGATTTCACCAACATAACAATATTGCTCTAAAAAACATTTGGCTTTGTTTAGGTGTTTATTTACAAAAAAAAGTATACAGCTGTTAAACTGAGCGTCAAGTCAGAGATGCAACTTTTAAAGAATTACATAGCAGCAAAAACTCACCACTTCCACTCATGCGCATAAAACATTTCCTTTAAGAAGTGGGTCAAAACATCACCTATAAATATAAGATTGTCCAAGTTTGGGCACAAGGAAACGTCTCTTAAATTCCTCCTCTTGTGTGAATGTTTGGGTTATGGTTTGTCTCCTGCTGCGTACATTTCATTAATTTTTTCCTGGTACATCTTGACGACAATCGGCCTTCTGAGTTTCATAGTGGGACCTGTACAGACAAAAAAGTGTTGTGTCATTCATACTGTAGAAATGTGAGGGGTCGTTTTAGTTCAGATCTTTAAATAACATTGTTTTGAAAACCTCTATCTTTACATTGACCTTCCAGCATGGTAAAAGAGTTGTAATTTTAGTTTTATCAAGCTAACTTTAAAGGTATACTATGAACTCTTAAGGTGGTAAGTTCGCAACCTGCTTGTCTCTATGGAGATGTTATTGTTTTAACTGTTATATTCTACAGTATGGCAGTAAATGTACCTATCCACATGGAGACAAGCAGCTGACACCACCAAAATAAGGACAGGTGACCCCGCTCACAGCTAGAATGCATGTTTTTGAAGGTATTTTGAGCAAGAAAATCACCAGTAATTAAGCAAATAAAAGACGGTAGTTATTTGCCATATTATGGAACATTCATAACATATCCATGGAGGAGAGCAGGGGGTGAGATTTACACACACAACACATCAGTATTGGGATTATACCGGGACTAAACCTGAACCTAAATCTGGACAAGACCTGGACTAAACTAGGAATAGAACAGGATCAAGCCAAGTCTACAATAGAACTTGGCACAGACTGGGCCCAAACCAGGACATGGGTGAAGGCAACCTTAGGCAATTACATTGATTTGAGCAACTTTTTGTACTTTGAATTTCATTACACCATATTTTAAGCTTAACCAGTAGTTTTAGTAAAAGTAAAATTTTGTCTAGTCCTCTCTGTACAATATGTAACTTTTCAGGTTGAAGTTGAAGTTACAGGTCAGATCTGTTGTGAGGATCAATGGTTTATATATTATTTTTGCACTGAAACATCACAGTTGGATAAATGCAAGATAAATAGGTTTAATGGCATAGCGTGGAACATTTCAGCAATAACATCTCTATAGAGACAAGCAGGGGACACACTCTCCACCTGAAAAGTTGCAACAAAAAAAAAGTACACCTTTAAAAGACATCTCAACAAAAGCTGCTATCTAAACTGGGCTTTGAGCTGAATGCATTTGCTGTTAAGACTGTGCATAGTTTTCTGATGAGACAATAGCTTAATTTCATGGTCTATTAAACATTGGTTAGACATTAACAGGAAAACTGGAAAAACACTTCCTTCATTCTTGTATGTCTAACTTACCCAACTCTCCCCCAGAGATGGAGAAGTCTCGCTCTAGAATCACCCACTTTTGTACATTCTGGGCCCTGGATGTTGCTTTGGCATTCACACGCTCAAAACCCTCTTGGATGGCTTGGTAGATCGCAGGCTCCTTATTGGCTAGAATCTCTGAGACCTTGGTTGCCGTGACATTATTTCGCCTGCAGAACTCCAAAGCCTCTGGACTCAGGTCATCTGTAGGCTCACCGTTATCATCAACAACACACTAAAAGAAAATACTGGTTAGCTGTTTTTTGTGAATTGGTATACACGGTTATACAGTCAAAGAAAGGCGTGGTTACTTTGAGCGTGAGAAGCATGGACAAGAATTTTAGCTTGTCTCCGATTAGCATGGCGTTGCTGATGATGGGGACTTCAGCCTTTAGTGCGTCCTCAATGGGCACAGGAGGGATGTTCTCTCCACCGGCAGTTATGATCAGCTCTGTTAAATAAATAAATAAATGAATACATGAATAAATACATGAATAAAACTTTAATTAAACACAAAAGATGAGTGTTTCAAAGTGTCCAAAGTGGATACAGATGCTCTTCCAAGGATGAGCCCCAAAGTATTTAGATAATGGCTATTAACAAAGTACATTTTCTGGTGGAGGGTCTGCCACCTGCTTTTCTCCAAAGAGATTATCTGACTGAAATATTTCACAGTATGGCATTAACCAATCTATCTCCATGTAGTCGAGCAGATGACACAGCAAACAAGGCCAAGTTACAGATCTGGTAAGACTTTATTTTTACAATAAAACACCTGTGATTGCAATAGCTAAGTTTAATATCATACTAGGGAACTTTCAAGGCAAGATAATCACATATTGCCGAAACAGTGAAAAAAAAAAATCTTAAGCATTCTGTATTTTGTGCAAAATATGAAGTATTTTAGTCTATAGTGCTTTGAATGCCTTCTTCACTGCTCTTTACATTCTAAAATGAACTTTAAAAGTTGGTAAGGGACTAGACACAGCCACCCTGACACTTTTCTGACACCACCAATCACACTTGCAGACACATTCATTCTAAGGCAAACTTTGACTCTTACCCTTTATCCTTCCTGTTATGTAGAGAAACTCGTGCTGGTCGTGTCTCCCCAGGTCTCCCGAGTGTAGCCAGCCCTCCTCGTCCAGAGCCTCTGCCGTTTTATCAGGCATATTC